CATGACAGAAGAGTCATCGTTCAAGTTAACAACTGGATGCTGTGTGCTTCACTGATGTCTGTACAAAACAAATGCATTTTCTACTCTGTGATGTTGGTGTGACAATAGAGGCCAGAAACTCCTTCATGTTATTGATCGTTTATCCGGATTCATGCATCTTAAATCGAACCTCATAATGTGGAAAAACAAGATAAACAACAGGAATCGTAAATTCTTAGCTGGTTGGTGGACGTTAACCGTCTCTGATGATACAACATTTTACATTTCATTTGAACGTCCACATATGTAGTGAAATAACCACACATGAATCATTTTTCCCACTAATCAAATATATAAATTAATATAGATCTCACTTCTTTCTGGATGTTGACGGCACAACACTTTGACACACTAATCACTTAGAAAAGAAACAGTACCTCAAAATTGATTACAGAGCTTTTATGTTGTGAGCAAACACTAGCGGTGATAGTAGAACACACAAACACACTGACAAACAGTATTTAGTTACATTTCTAAATGGAAGAATAAATTGAACTACACTGTTGAGTCAATGGCTCAGGCTACAACCTTCACACAGACATGGCATTACACTACGACAGGAAGAGCCGTGTCCTCGTTCACTCTACGATCCGTCTTTGGGTGCCACCGCGTATGCCGGTACCTCTCTTCTGAACACTTAAACTATCAGTACTAGACTTGTACACAAAGAGCTTCAACAAGGCACATAAGCTATTGTCCGTATAGTCACTGTAGCTACACACAGACAGAGCAGATTAAACATACACAGAAGTCGTTTGATGAATAATTCCTTGCTTGAATATTAGCCAAGTTCAGGAGTCCGTCCATTGCACAGTATGGAACACTTATTGCTAAAACAGGACTGCTGTCAGTAAAATAAGAATTCCTAGAATATAATATATTCTTTTACATATACAGTAGAAATATTTTGCATAAAATGATTTATGATTTGCAACGCTAAACAAATTATCTTTATACCACACGCTCGCTCGTACTCACACACCCACACATACAGTAATAATAATACAATAATATAGACAGTATAAAAACAGGTGCTGCTATCTGGGGGTCACAAATATTCTCTCATTTTTTCGCACCTTTGTATATGTCATGATTTACAGCATTAGGTAAAATAGTTGTGATGACAGCCATGAGAGAAACACAGTGGCCAGACGGTTAAAATATCAAATGACGACAGTCAGAAATCACTCAAGATTCCTGAGTTGTATAATTAACATTTGAATGACTGATGTATAAATACAGAGGGAGGAGGAGTAACCTTTTTATTAACACACCATAATTCATCTTAGGTAAGAAACTATACTGGCAAAGTGCTTACTATACAGTACAGACTTCGTATGGCCTCTGAAGTAGATTTCTACAATATTACAAACGAAAAGAACACAGTACACATACGCGTAATATTTCAGTAAGATTACATACACTATGAACAGTGAGGCTTTACAGTAAAAACTAATTTTGAGCAGCAGTATCAATACTGAGTGTTCCCCTAGAGACAGGAGAGATTATTCATGAGCAAATCTGACAAAGATGTATGCAGTAATATTAGTGTGGTGCAGTAGTAGTAGTAGTAGTATCTGAATGGACCTCTGTCTGTTTTGGTTTGTGTCATTTATTGTGTCAGACCAAATATAAAATAGAATTATCTGGTGCTGACAGTACCTGAATGGCTTTAATCAAAAAGGTTTCAAAGCTGGTGTACTTTAGTGAAAGGTCTCAGTTCCACCTTAAATATATAGAAACGGAGAATGCTAACAAGAAAGAACAAGTAGAGTAAAATGAACAGCTAAAATAACAAAAGTAAAATATAAATATAAATAAAAGTTTTGATGGTTTAAAAGTAAAATTCACACAGTTGAACACCCCCACCAGTGAGGCCCCTTCCTTTGGTGTCTGTGCTTCAAATGAGTAATAAATGGCTGCTAGACAGAGAGAATTTCTGAACAGTGAACATCGGTGGGCAGTTACAGCAGAATTCCTTTGTTTCTTGGAGTTTTATCCTTTAAAGTACATCTTGGCAACCATTCGTACACATTCTGTACATGACGGACTTCAAGACGTGTGTTGAAGAAGGACTCGCATCCTTAAGGGAGCTCATCTGCTACCCTGAAGGAGCTCTGCAGAGAGGTTGTGCTGCTCCAGTTCAGTGTGTCCCCTTTCCTTCTAAGATTGCGTCCATCGGTGTGGTAAAAGTGTTGTGAAGGAGAAGGTATTGAGGACAAAAGGAGGTCTGCACAATTTATTACAGGAACGTCTCGGTAGTGGAGTCTCTTCCAGGTGTGTCTGGGCTGACGTCGACTCTAACGCAGGCCACCTTTTCCTGGCTGTTCAGGGATTAACAAATAGAGAGAAAATGAGTGTGTAGGCAGATTTATGGAGGTGTTAAGGGTTGCGAGCAACTACAAATGTGTGATTTCTATCAGGTAGAGGAGTGATAGTTCTTAATTGCAAACACTTACAAGACTTTACCAGCTTTAGTACAACTTGGTAAGGATGGGACTTAATGAGAGAACTGTGGCAAAAGATTTGTCAACACAAAGCACTGTGCAAAGGTTTTAGAGACTGAACTTCAAGTTAGGATCTGTTTTTAAAAATCAAAACTAAACAACACAAAAAACAAGGAAGTGGCCCACAGGGTAAGGACTTATATTCAAGGCAAGAAGACAGCAGACATAGTGGATAAATCTTGGGAGGCTACCTGTCTTTATTCTGTGTCTGATTGTCTTTGTCCCTAAATGTTAGAAACTTAGATTTGTGCCTAAATCTAAAGACATCTATGGGTGGATGGATGGATGGGTGAGTGGACTTTGTTCTGTCCACCATTACATTATTTTATCCCAAATAAATCTAGTGAAATTAATATGCATGTAACTCAAAAAGGTTGTTTACAGTGCAATGCAAAATCTTCAACCACCACATATTTTTGCATATTTTGGTAGTAAGATGGGAAATAGATGTAGAAAAGCATTTGGAAACCAACCAACAAATGTCAAACTGGGATAATCTTTGGGTTCTTCTTCAAAATGAACTAAATAAATGAATGAAAGCAAATTATGTGTTTATGTAATAGACTGCCGGTGACAAAGAACCTAACTATAAAGCTCAAAATTGATTCACATCAACACAACACTGGTTCATCCCTTCAATTAGGTACCTTTTTTATGCTTTGGTGATCCATAGATCAGTGATAAATGGATTAAGAAAAAAAACAAACAACAAAAGAAACATTCTTCTGAAAAGAATGCAGATACGAGGACTGGACTGAAAGCAGCAAAAAAATACAAACATTGAAATACCTTTGGAAAGTCTGCAAAACTATTGCTCAATTCCACTTCAAAAAATAACAAGTAAGTCTGTCTCCTTGAAATAAGGAAATGAGGGGTAGCACAAGACCTTTGCACAGTACTGTGTTTTTCCTCTTTGCATCAACACACCTACTCAGTTTTTCAAGATACCTAAAACAAATTGTAAAAATCTTTGTGACTTTAGGAGATACACATCATGACAGCAAGTATGAAACACGGTGCAGTCTGAATGTGGGACCAATCAGAATCCAATCCGATGGAACTAGGTGATAAATAGTAATTATTTCTAAGTGTTTCCTACCCTTTGCCTTTCCAAGGAAACCGAATCAGAGTTTGACATGCATTACTGTGCAAACTATGTCAAACTGTTATTAAGGAATGCCATTTTTCTGCAAATATATTCCTGTCAACTCAAGTCAGGTTAACAGCTATAGGCTCTAAAAGGAACAGGAACTATTATCTTTGCTTTTACAGGATTAAACTGATTCCCGACACTCAAAACTGCAATCGCTATGGACTTCCAGGCAGTAACTAGCTTCAGTTTCTGACTACAGCGTACATTAAGATAGCACTATCAAGCAGTCCCTCTTGTTTTTAGCGAGCATAATATCATATTGAAGTAACAGAGTTGGGTGCAGGGGCTCTGGAAAACTCCAGGAGATGGCATAGCTACCTTCCGCTAAGCTTCACAGGTTGGACACAAGACTCTGCACTCGAGTTCACTGCTTTCCACACTGCGGTTTTGGCCATCTCATCAGAGATATTTACAACCAAGGGGTCAGTGTCAGAACTACATGCCAAAATGAAAACACACACACACACACACACACACAAACAGAAACAAAAAGAGAAGACAGGCATGTAGACATCAAGACAGCAGGACAGGATCAGTGCAGGAGAGGCAGACGCAAACATGCATATATTAGAGATTAAACCAAGTTAACAACACAGTATGGCAGACCAGACAGACCACAAACAAACTTCTGTGTTAACATGTATTAAGAGCTGTTTGCTTTTTAGGCAAAGGGGTATCCTGAGAGTTGACTGTATGCATATTATTAGTTAGATGAGGCAATCATTCTATCATAGACCTTTTTACCTTAAAACAAATAATAATAATAAAAACAAAAAGACAGGAATACACAAAGCAGTGTGTTTAAAATCATCTGTTTTGTATGGTCTGAAAATTTCACCCATGCACAAACTATCAGTAGGGTTAATCGTGGGCGATTGTGGCTCAAAGAGTTGGCAGTTCGTCTTGTAACTGGAAGGTTGCCGGTTCGAGCCCCGGCTCGGACAGTCTC